GGCTGGAGTGCAGTGGCATGATCTCAGCTCACTGTAACCTCCGCCTCCTGGGTTCAAGCGATTCTCCTGCCTCAGCCTCCTGAGTAGCTGGGACTACAGGCACACGCCATCAAGCTCGGCTAATTTTCTTGTATTTTAGTATAGAAGGGTTTCACCGTGTTGTCCAGGCTTGTCTCAAACCCCTGAGCTCGGGCAATCCACCCACCTTGGCCTCCCAAAATGCTGGGATTACAGGCATGAGCCACCATGTCAGGCCTTAAATTTATTTTTTATAGAAATGGGGTCTTACTATGTTGCCCAGGCTGGTCTCAAACACCTAAGCTTATGTGATCCTCCTGCCTCAGCCTCCCAAAGTGCTGGTGTTACAGGTGTAAGCCACTGCACTCAACCTAAAAACAATTTTTTAAAAAATGAGTAAAATACCAGAATGATAAACAAAACAACCTATACCTATTAGTATGACGTTCAGAAGGATAAGCATCTAACTCTCAACAGTGGTCATCTAAGGAGAATACTAGTAGGAAAAGGAACAAATTTTTTTCTATTTCTATACTGTTTACATTTTGATAATAAACATGTACTAAGCTAATTTTAAAATTTTTAATTCCATTGCATATAACTTTTAAGTTAAACTCCAGGTACTAATAGACTTCAGTTCTCAAGCTACCTTAAAAAGAAAGTTTTGCTGAGCACAGTGGCTCACACCTGTAATCCCAGCACTTTGGAAGGCTGAGGCAAGAGGATTGCTTGACCTCAGGAGCTGGAGACTAGCCTGGGCAACATGGTATGATCCTATCTTAACAAAAAATAAAAAGTTAGACCTAGATGTAGCTTCTCTACTCCCTCTCAGATCTCTGCCTGGTTTGGACCACCTGCCTCCACTCTTGCCTCTACCATGTTCACCAGGGTAACCCAGATGTCCTACAAGGTATCGACCTCTGGTCCCTGCATCTTCAGCAGCTGCTTCTACACGAATGGACCCAGTGCCCACATTAGCTCCTCAAGGTTCTCCCAAGTGGGTAGTAGCAGTGCTTCTGGGATGGCCTGGGTGCTGGCATGGTTCTGGGTGGAAGCTGCATGGCAGGGCCAGTGGTAATGGGGAGCACCACAGCTATCATGGTGAACCAGAGTCTGCTGAGCCCCCTTAAGCTGGAGGTGGAACTCAACATCCAGGTCACGTGTGCCCAGGAGAAAGCAGATCAAGACCCTTAACAGTAAATTTGCCTTCTTCACGGAGCATGAGTACACATAGGAGGACTACGGTACAGCTCCTGGAGCAGCAGAACAAGATGGAGAGCAACTGCAACCTCTAGCAGCAGCAGCAGACAGCACAGAGGAACATGGACAACATGCTTGAGAGCTATGTCAACAACCTTCAACAGCAGCTGTACATTCTGGGCCAGGAGCAGCTGAAGCCGGAGGCAGAGCTTGGCCACATGCAGGGGCTGCTGAGGACTTCAAGAATAAGCATAAGGATGAAATCAATAAGTGTACAGAGATGGACAATGAATTTGTCTTCATCAAGTTTATGGACAAAACTTACATGAACAAGGTAGAGCTGGAGTCTTGCATGGAAGGGCTGACTGACAGATCCATTTCCTCAGGCAGCTGTATGAAAAGGAGACCCAGGATCTGCAGTCCCAGATCTTGGACACATCTGTGGTCCTGTCCATGGGCAACAGCCACTTCATGGACACAGATAGCATCACTGAGGTCAAGGACAAGCATGAGATCGCCAACTGCAGCTGGGCCAAGCCTGAGAACATATACCAGATCAAGTATGAGGAACTGCAGACACTTGATGGGAAGCATGGGGATAATCTGTGTCACATGAAGATGAAAATCTCTGAGATGAACCAGAACATCAGCCAGCTCCAGGCTGAAACTGAGGGCCTTAAAGGCCAGAGGACTTTCCTGGAGGCTGCCATCACGAATGCCAAGTAGCCTGAGGAGCTGGCCAATAAGGACAGCAATGCAGCTGGGTGCAGTGGCTCACATCTGTTAATCCCAGCACTTTTGGAGGCCAAGGTGGATGAATTGTTTGAGATCAGGAGTTGGAGACCAGCTTGGGCAACATGGCAAGGCCCCGTCTCTACCAAAAATACAAAAATTAGTCTTATAACCCAGTTTCAAAAATTTAAAAATAATTAAAAAAAAAAAAAAAAAAAGATACCACACCCCAAGCTGGTGTACCAGGAGCTGAAGAACATCAAGCTGGCCCTGGACACAGAGGTCACCACCTACAGGAAGTTGCTGGAGAGCAAGAAGAGTAGGCTGAAGTCTGGGATATAGAACATAAGCATAAAGACCACCAGTGGCTACTCAGGTGCACTGAGCTTGGCCTGTGGGACCTCACAAGCCCTGGCCTCAGCTATGGCTAGGCTCTAGCTTTGGCTCTGGCTCCTTCAGCCAGAGCTCACACCAGCTCCTCCAGAGTTCCTCCAAGGCCATGGCTGTGAAGGAAATAGAGACCCGAGATGGGAAACTGGTGTCTCAGTCCTGTATGTCCTGCCCAAGTAAATCAGCATAGCAGCCCCTCCCAGCCCACCCCTTCCTGTGGATCCCCCAGAGCCTGTGGAAGAGGCCACTGTACAGGGAAGCATAGGGAACAGGAGTGAGCATAGCCTCACGAGTGAGGCTCAGTCCTAGCCCTCAGCCCACTCATTGGGGGAGTTCATTGTCTGGGATACCCCCCCTTGCCCATGACTCCAGCTACAAAACAATTTGTTATTTTCCAAAATAGAGCCTCAACTAGCTCTGCCATTAAAAAAAAAAAAAAAAAAAAATTGCCAGGCTTGGCGGTGTGTGCCTCTGGTCCTACCTACTTTGGGGGCTGAAGTAGGAGAATTGCTTGAGGCCAGGTCAAGGTTGCAGTGAATTGTGATTGGCCAGGTCAAGGTTGCAGTGAATTGTGATTGGCCAGGTCAAGGTTGCAGTGAATTGTGATTGCGCCACTCCACTCCAGCCTGGGCAACAACACAAGCCTGTCTCAATACTAAAGTTTTAACAAGCATCTCCTCACAAAAGCATGCATGAGTAGATGGTTTTGTTAAGGAAAATGCCTGTGTCATCCAGTTAACCTGAGATGCTATTGGCTTACCCCACCATAAAACTTCCTGGCCCATAATGCCTTAATCCAAATTAGAGGTACACTCTCTAATCTGAAAGTTGTTGACAAGTGTGGTATGACAAGAGCTGGCACCCCAAAGCACAATATCCTATGATTTTCAAACTTTTCCTTCTCCCTACCTGCTACTAACACCACCAGGCCCACATCAGCACTTTTCTTTCAGAGCCTGATTCTCTACTCCTCCAACCCCCGCTTCAAGAATGCTATGAGGATTAGGGGTGTCTATCAAGACCCCCTCAGCAACCAACAGCCATTCCAGAAAAGCTGACAGCTGCCAACAAGAGCAGCTTCCCAGCAGGATGTTTTAGTAACCTTAATGAGGCAGAGAGCAACACCTCCCATAAATTCTGGTTGGAAGAAACAATCTAGATTGTGGAATAGTACAATTTAAAAAGCAAACACCACAGGCTCCAGTAGAGCAGGAAAGCAAGCAGAGATTTCTAAATACAGAGCTCAATTCTAAGAGTTCACTGTACCTTAATTCTCACTATCATCATTTGCTCTGTCAAAAATAGAACATTCTAGGTCTTGATCCATTCAAAATAAGCCACAGCAGGTACAGCTCTGCTTCCACAGGGCAGCCAGGTCAGAAAGGTCACACAGGGAAATGGAAAAGGAGCCAGCAGGTTTTCTTAGGGATTATACTCCTTTGGGCTTTTATCCTTCTTCCCAGCTATTCTGGTGCCAAGAAAGCTGCAGGGAGGTCTTTGCTCTGCTCTGAAAAAGCTTCAATCTCTTCACCAGCAAGATTGAAGCACTCTCAGGGCTGGAACTCCCTCTGCTGCCCAGTGTTTGCTTTGCATGCTGTAGTCAGTTTAATGAATTTCAAACTCAAATGTTCAGAGCTAATGCAGCCATTATTTTAAAATATAACCGAAAGAGCATGAGTACACATAGGAGGACTACAGATCGAATGCACGATTCAAAGCTGGATAGACTTTTTCATTCACCTACCAATCTCCTCTATCTCAGAAAGGATTTTTTATTCAGTTTAATGACAAGTCTCCTTCACAGGCATGTAGAAAAGCAGGAGCCAGACTTTTGGTCCTTCCCTGGTAACACTGCCTTTAGCAGAACTTAAGGTAGGCCTTATTCTTATTCATCTTTCAAAATCCAATTTAAATAGCACTTAGGATGAAGCATTACGACTACCTGTTGACCAGTATGTTTCACTGTATCGATTCAACACTGTGTCTAGCTAACAGCAGATGCTCAATAACCATCTAACAATTGGAACTAGAACCACGTGCGATACTGGGGGAAAGGAAACCTGTCCACATTAAGAATTCAACTAGCAAATCACTGGGGAAAGAAACACAATTCTTAAGAGTAAGAGGCAGGTGTGTTTCTCCAACATCCCATTATTTTGCCTAACAATTTACCTATTGGCAGTGCTTGTGGTCCTTTTTAGATGACCAATCTCAGTCTCTTTCCCGTAAATTGTTAACTCATTTTCAATGTATTTGAAAGGCACTTCATTCTTTGCCTATACCCAAATACTTCTCACATTCTGATCTTAGTGATAAAATTCACAAAGGCCTCACAGTGACTCAATGAGAGTGTTCAGCAAATTCTGACCCCATTAAATAATGAACCCAACTATTTAAGTTAGAAACGTATTCCAGCATCCAGAACCAGAAGTGCTAAAGACACCTGTTAGTGCAATGACCCTTATTTATGTTTGTGAACCCTCCCTTTCTCCACCTCCCAATACTGGAGGCTTACCTGTCAGGCAGAATTCCTAATCTGCCTCAAAATCTACAGGTCCAACATCTGAGAATACCAAGTGCTCAAGGCAACTGCCACCCTTCAGAAAACTAATGTAAATACCAACAACAAACGGTGTTACTGTGTAAAAAGTCTCCACCACTGAACAGAAGCAATGTCAATGTTTTAATACAAACAATCCCATAGCATTTATTGACATCTTGTAATAACATAAGGGCAAGCAAAACAATATGAATAAATGTTCACACTGGACAAAGGACATCTAAAAACAAAATGTATCCTTCTCAACCATTTCTCACTTCACTGATCATTTCTAGTTGGAGACACTTTGCAGCAGAGTAATATTATCTCCTTTTAGCATGATCCGACCTGCAAAACAAAAACAACAACATCCCATTAATAGCCACAGACTCAGAATTTTGAATCCAGTTTTTGAACAGTATTTTGAAAATGCTTTCTTACAGAAAATATGTGAACATGGCCGGGCGCCATGGGCTCACACCTGTAATCCCAATCACCAGATCAGGAGTTCAAGACCAGCCTGACCAACATGGTGAAACCCCGTCTCTACTAAAAATACAAAAATTAGCTGGGCGTGGTGGCATATGCCTATAATCCCAGCTACTCCAGAAGCTGAGGCAGGAGACTTGCTTAAAGCCAGGGGGGCAGAGGTTGCAGTGAGCCGAGATTGCACAACTGCACTCCAGCCTGGGTGACAGAGCAAGACTCTCTCTTGGAAAAAAAAAAAAGTGAACATTTTCAAGTGTCCATGTAGTGAAAGGCTTTCTGGCTCCATTAGAGTGCATTCACCTTTTCAACAACAACCTAACAAAGGTACATGATATTTCATGACAAGTACCATTTCTACAGACTAAGTCAACTCAATAGGCTTCATCCAACATTTCCCAATGCCAAGTCTGTAAAAGTTTGGAAATGAGTCGTATGTCAAGTTGAGGAAATACGGCATACTATAACTCCATTCTTAAAGCTGTTAGTATATAAAAGACTCCACCCAGCCAGGCACGGTGGCTCACACCTATAATCCCAGCACTTTGGGAGGGTGAGGCGGGTGGATTGTGTGAGGTCAGGAGTTCAAGACCAGTTTGACCAACATGGAGAAACCCCATCTCTACTAAAAATACAAAATTAGTCAGGCATGGTAGCACATGCCTGTAATCCCAGCTACTTGGGAGGCTGAGACAGAAGCAGAATTGCTTGAACCCAGGAGGCGGAGGTTTCAGGGAGGTGGCGGTCGCGGTGAGCCGAGATCACACCACTGCACTCCATCCTGGGCAACAAGAATGAAACTCAGCCTCAAAAAAAAAAAAAAAAAAAAAGGACTCCACTCTGAAATAAACAAACCTGTTTAAATTTTACCCAAAAATTCCTAAGGTTATTTAAGACAATACTTTTTTCTTCTGAGAAATCTATAACATCTTCAGGAACACTGGTGTTCACTGGCAGAACAGTTTTGAGACATGTTAATCAACAGTAATTAAACTGTTTCACCTTCCCAGGCCTCTATAGGTATTAATAATATATATATATATTTTTTAAGATGGAGTCTTGCTCTGTCGCCCAGGCTGGAGTGCAGTGGCGCGATCTCAGCTCACTGCAACCTCTGCCTCCCAGGTTCAAGCAATCCTCCTGCCTCAGCTTCCTGAGCAGCTGGGACTACAGGCACATATCACCACACCTAGCTAATTTTTTTGTATTCTTAGTAGAGACAGGGTTTCATCATATTGACCAGGGTAGTCTCAAACTCCTGACTTCATGATCTACCCATCTCAGCCTCCCAAAGTGCTGGGATTATAGGCGTGAGCCACCGTGCCCAGCTGCAATAATATTCTATTCCACAGGATGAATACTACCGTGGAAATTCAACACTTGGTCAATAATTTATAGATAATATGACCTCACTAAGGCTAAGCTTGCCTTCCTGGCAAGCTTAAAAAAAAACCCGGTGAGGTGCCATCTCTAATATATAAAAATTTAGCTGGATGTGGTGGTATGCACCTGTAATCCCAGCTACTGGGGAGGCTGAGGCAGGAGAATCACTTGAACCTAGGAGACGGAGGTTACAATGAGCCGAGATCACACCACAGCACTCCAGCCTGGGCAACAGAGCAAGCCTCGTCTCTAAAAAAATTAAAATGAATCTAAAAAACCCAGGCTTTCGTAAAAATAGTCTAAGCAAGAAGCAGCTAGCGAAACACCATACTGCTTCTAAGAATCTACTTTCCATGTATCTAGTGTAGGTTCAAGAGAATCCTGAGGGTCTAAAAGAGAGACATCTGACACCCACCACTGATAAAATTATTAGTGAGCGTTTAACAAATAAAGACGAAATACCTAAATAAGCCTCAAGTGAATGGGATGTTAACAGAAACTATTCAGTGTGTCTTGATGAAACTATGAATTCTAGGACCATTCATTAACTGGGTTAAGAAATACCATTCATTGCCAGGCACAGTGGCTCACACATGTAATCCCAGCATTTGGGAGGCTGAGGCAAGCATATTGCCTGAGCTCAGGAGCTTGAGACCAGCCTGGGCAACACAGTGAAAGCCCGTCTCTACTAAAATACAAAAAATTAGCCAGATATGGTGGTGTGTGCCTGTAATTGCCTTGTCTTACTGGGGAGGCTGAAAATCACTTGAACCCGGGAGGCAGGGGTTGCAGTGAGCAGAGACAGCACCATGGGCAACAGAGCAAGACAAGACTCCGTCTCCAAAAAAAAGAAATACCCTTCATTGTTCAAAATTTTTTGAGTTTCTATTTCTATTATGTGTCAGGCACTGAGTTGAATACTGAGTATACTAGGGACCAAGAGAACATGACTCATGCACTTATGATGAAGCATCTGATAATAGCAGAGACATGAATAAAATAAACCCATAATAAATGTTTTACTATAAGCTCAGGGAGCACATAATCCTGCCTTCCCCTATCCCCGACAAAACCAAATTAAACTCTGAACTTTTTAGAGCAGGGCTTCCTAACTACTGGAACACAGGTCAGTACTGGTCGTCGTCCCTGTTAGAAACTGGGCCACAGAGCAAGAGGTGAGCAGCCGGCTAGTGGCTTCATCTGGATTTACAGCCCCTCCCCATCACTAGCATTCCCGCCTGAGCTCTGCCTCCTGCCATGTCAGCAAAGGCCTTAGATCCTTATAGGAGCACAAGCCCTATTGTGAACTGGCTTTAAGAGGGGATCTAGGACTCCTTATGAGAGCCTAATGCCTCATGATGTCATTGTTCCCCACCCCCCCCCCAGATGGGACCATCTACTTGTGGGAAAACAAGCTCAGGGCTCCCACTGATTCTATATTATGGTGAGCTGCATAATTATTGTATGTTACAATGTAATAATAATGGAAATAAAGTTCACAATAAATATAATGTGCTTAAATCACCCAAAAACCATCCCCCATACCCCAGTCCATAGAAAAATTATCTTCCATGAAACCAGTCCCTGGTGACAAAATAGTTGGGGATCGTTGTCTTAAATGAAGTGATGTTTGACCTGAGCTCTAAAGACACAAGGAATACCATATACAAAGATTAATGGGCAAATGTGCAGATTCAAAGAACTGAAATCAGACAAGTGTTGCTAGAGCTCAGAAAGTGAGGCACAGGGATACGAAATGAGCAGAGGGAGAGAAGACTAGATCATGAAGATCATTAGATATGCAGAATCATGAGATATTTTTTATCCTAAGAGCAACAGGAAGTCATTGAAGAATTTCAAGCAAAGGGATGACATGGTCAGACTGGTGTTTTTAAAGATGACTGAAACCTGAAAAGAAAACTAGAGGTAGCCGCAAGTAAATCAGTTAGAAAGCTGAATGAAAACTGGTGCCATTCAATAAGGCAGGAAAAATACCACAATAGCTCTCAATTGTGTGCGTTGGAATTGAGTTTGCTGATACGCTGACTTTGAGAAGCCTTTAAAACATTTAAGTAGAAATGGTGAAGAGGCTCAGAGAGGTCTTGGCTACAAACAAATTGGGCGTCAATATATAGATGGTAATTGAGGCTGTACTCCAGTGTCTAGGTAGACAATACTGAATGACAGGAAGGCCTAGAACCAAGCCTGGAGCAACTTGTTTAGTGACTGAGTCCCAAAGAATGAATATACAAGTCTGAAAAGAGCCGGAAATGAAAAATAAAAACCCAACTATAATATTGTAAAGCCAAGGTGTGATACTACAAAATATGTATTTGGTCTTCAATTCCATACAATTCCTAAAATCCTTAGAATCTGTAGGTGTTGCCTTTTTGTATGCTAATGACTAATGGCCAGCACCTCCTACTTCCAGGATGGGAGTTGGTCACTGAAAGGACCAACGTGAGGTCTGACTTTCAGCCCCACCCTCCAACCCAAGGGGGAGGAGAAGCTGAAGGTTAAACGGATCACCAGTGGTCAACGATTTAATCAGTCATGCCTATGTAATGAAGCTTACATAAAAACTGAAAACAGGCCAGGTGCAGTGGCTCACGCCTGTAATCCCAACACTTTGGGAGGCCAAGGCGGGTGGATCACAAGATCAGGTGTTTGAGACCAGCCTGGGCAACATGGTGGAACCTCATATCTACTAAAAATACAAAAATTAGCCAGGCACGGTGGCGGGTGCCTGTAATCCCAGCTACTTGGGAGGCTGAGGCAAGGGAATCACTTGAACCTGGGAGGCAGAGGTTGCAGTGAGCCAAGACCGCGCCATTGCTTTCCAGCCTGGGCAACAGAGCAAGACCTTGTCTACAAATAAAAAAAAACAAAAAAAACCTGAAAACGATGGGATTCTGATAGCTCAACGTGTGGAGGTTGGAGGTTCCTGGAGAGCGGTGAGCTTGAAGAGGGCACAAAAGCTTCGGATTCCTTCCTATATGCCTTGTCCTATGCATCTCTTCATCTGTATTCACTGGAGTATCCCTTATCATAAGCCAGTAAATGTATTTCCACAAGTTCCATGAGCTGCTCTAGCAAATTAGTCATACCAAAGGAGGGGTCATGGGACCCAATTTCTAGCCACTCAGTAGGAAGCACAGGTAAAACAATCTGGAGCTGACAACTGGCATCTGGTGGAGGGTTGAGGGGCAGGGAAGGGAATCTTGGGGATTGAGCCCTCAGCCTCCGGGAACTGACGCTATCTGCAGGTAGACATGTTAGAACTGAACTGAACTTGAGGACTCCAAGCTGATATCCACTGCCAAACTGACTGCTTGCTTGGTGTGTGGGGAAACATGCCCACACATCTGGTCACAGAAGTCTTCTGTGTTGGCTACTGTCAACTGAGGAAACAGAAAAATCTACTTGGATTTTTCCGCCACTCAGACAAGGGAACAAAGCACTTAAGGAGGGAGAGGCCAACCGTGCCAAACGCTGTTAAGGATCAGTACTGACCATTAGATTTACTACCACCAGTCTTTGGTTTCCTTGGTGAGAGCTCTCTGGGTGGAGAAGACAAAATGGAGTGTGGTGAGGAGTGAGTGGCACCGGATGATTTTTGTGTACTACTACTCTGAACAATAATTTCTCAAATGCAAAGTAAGTTTAAACATGAATTGAATTGTAGGTTGCTGAATTCTGCAAGTGAGTAACACATTTCTAGATTCTATAAGACCACTTATATCCTTACCCAGTTGTTTCCTTGACTTTGTTTTAGAATGAATCTCTTCTGCATCATCTAATACGAGGTTCATATACTCATCAAAACCCTAGAAAAATAAGCAAACTATTGTTTTCAAAGAAAATCAAATCCATTTTAAATGAGTATACCCATTCCGATACAAAAATCCAACTAACTTCAAAAATTCACTCATATGAAGCCCCACCCCACCTTCCACCCAAAGCCTTTCTTTTTCTATTTTTTTTTTGAGAAACGATTTCACTTTGTCTCCCAAGTTGGAGAGCAGTGGTGTGACCTCAGCTCACTACAGCCTCAACCTCCTGGTTCAAGCGATTCTCCTGCCTCAGCCCCCCAAGTAGCTGGGATTATAGGGTGCACCACCATGCTGGCTACTTTTTGTATTTTTGGTATAGACAGGGTTTCACCATGTTGCCCAGACTGGTGTCGAACTCCTGAACTAAAGTGATTCATAGCGCTTGGCCTCCCAAAGTGCTAGGGTTACAGGTGCGAGTCACCATGTCCAAATTTAAAAATTAGCTGGACATGGTGGTGTATTCCTACAGTTCCACCTACTAGAGGTTGAGGTATGAGAATCACTTGAGCCAAGGAGTTCAAGATTGCAGTGAGCTATGACAGCACCTGGGTGACAGAGCAAGACCTCAACTTAAAAAAAAAAAAAGGCCAAGCGCAGTGGTTCACGTCTGTAATGCCAGCACTTTGGGAGGCCGAGGCAGGTGGATCACAAGGTCAGGAGATGAAGAACATTCAGGCCAACATGATGAAACCCCGTCTCTACTAAAAATAGAAAAAAAAATTAGCTGGGCACGGTGGCATGCACCTATAGTCCCACCTACTTGGGAGGCTGAGGCAGGAGAATTGCCTGAACCCAGGAGGTGGAGGTTGCAGTGAGCCAAGATCGTGCCACTGTACTCCAGCCTGGCAACTGAGTGAGACTCCGTCCCCCCCAAAAAAAAAAAAAAATTGCTATCCCAGAAGCCTTATTTAACTAATCTTACTGAGCTCTATTCAGGCACCACCTAACCCACAACAAATAATTCCATTAGTCCCCATCCTCCCTAATTTCATTTCTTTTGTCTTCTCTCTCCATACTAACCTTATTGCTCAAATAATTTTTTTTCAAATAATTTTTAAAAGTTAGTTTTCAGGCAGGCATTGTGGCTCATGCCTGTAATCCCAAGACTTTGAGAGGCTGAGGCTGGAGAATCACTTGAGCCTAGGAGTTTGAGACCAGCCTGGGCAACACAGTGAGAACTCATCTCTATAAAAAAATTAAAATTCAGTGGGCTGTGATGGTGCACACTTGCAGTCCTAGCTACTTGGGAGGCTGAGGCAGGAGGACTGTCTGAGCCCAGAAAGTCGAGGCCTCAATGAGCCATGATTGTAATACTGCACTCCAGCCTGAGCAGCAGAACAAGACCCGTTCTCAAAAAATAAATACGAAATCTCTTCTCAACATAAAGAAAATGAATTAAAAGTTAATTTTCCCTGTCTTTTAAAAATTACCCAAAATTAAATGACTTTCTGTGAAGTCTTTTCCTATGACCAAACTGTTTTGAAATACAATTGCCTGTATACTCACAATGATACAGCCTTCTATTCGCATATTCACTTGCTCATAGAGCCACACCTGAATCCGCGATCTCTGAAATAATCATAAAAATGGAAACGTTAAAAAAAGAAAAATAGGGCCAGGCACGATAGGGCTCACGCCTGTAATCTCAGCAATTTGGAAAGCGGAGGCAGGTGGATCACAACAGCAATTTGGAAAGCGGAGGCAGGTGGATCACAAGATCAAGAGACCGAGACCATCCTGGACAAAATGGCGAAACCCCATCTCTCCTAAAAATACAAAAAAAAACTTAGCAAGGTGTGGTGGCACGTGCCTGTAGTCCCAGCTACTCAGGAGGCTGAGGCAGGAGAATCGCTTGAACCTGGGAGGTGGAGGTTGCATTGAGGTGAGATCGCGCCACTGCACACTCCAGCCTGGTGACAGAGCAAGACTGTCTCAAGAAAAAAAAGAAAAGAAAAACAGGCCAGGTACCTTGATCCTCACCTGTAATTCCAGTACTTTGGGATGCCAAAGCGGAATAATTTGTTTGAGGCCAGGTGTTCAAGATAAGCCTGAACAACATTAAGCAAGATCTTGTCTCCAAAAAAGAACTTTAAACAAAACCTAACCATTATGGGAAAACGACAAAGAAATATGGCTCCTAAAAAAGCTGTATTGAATGTAAGTCAAGAGTTTTAATTAGCCCGTATCTAAGAATTATTCACCAAGAATAATTACCTCAAAGAAAATTTTCATTTAATACATGCTATATTGGAACTGTACAAGCTAATAATTTTCCTGTGATCTTGGGACTCAGTATTTCCTACTGTTTCTGGTCTCAATATATTTAGAGTGACAATATATTTAAGTTTTTGACAGTATAGCACAAAGCAGTAATTTCTAATGACCAAGGGCTTATCTCCCGCAGCAAAATCCAGCTCCAAAACAAAGCTTTCCTATATCACACACCTAACCACCAGGATAGGAGCCCTCAATTCAGGTGGTTAAAAATTATAATCACTGGAAATTAATGTTTTTCAGTTGTGTTGTCAAAAATTCCCCGAAATGAAAGCAGCTGCCACTAAACTCCTCTGAAGCTACCTTCTCTCTTCCTTTATTCGTGTCTTTTAGCTTTCGCACAGGTACTAAACACTTCTTGACATGGTTTAAGTTGGGTTTTTCTTCCAATGTTTCATCCTAACGGGGAGAGGTTCCAATGTTCTAGCCATAGTCACTGCTAACAAAAGTACTGATGCCCAAATACCATGGTCAAGTCTGCTAATAATATTTTTTGGAAATAAAAAGGCCTTTTGATCTTTCAAAGTAATGATACAATTCTTTGCATGCTGGGAAGTGGCATGGATAACACCACTTCACCACATTAGTGCTTTCTCTATACTCCTTCCCCTCAATTACTCTCCAATCTCCATCTGTTTTTAAACTCTAGAACACAGCGATCACTCGGGTTAACACAAAAAACTAAATCAATTCACCTCTTATTTAAAAACCAGTTACGTTTGAAACAATTAACAAGCAACTTACGTACATTTTGTAAGTATCTGAAGATGAGGTTCTGTACCACAATGGTTAAGGAAAAAATACAAAAGCAGCATAGACTCTATTCCCTGAAACAACTGGACGACTGTGCTACGGTCTCACCTTTTTTTACTAAACGCGAAGTCTGGTGCTTACGTAAAGAAAAAGTGCCCAGCGGGGCACTCATTAGGGGTCTTCAACATCCCTTCCACTCTCATTCCCCTGGAGTTTCCCGAAACCATTAACTCCCGTTTTCATTCAGCACCTACTTGAAGTTCTCTTCCCTCCTTTCGCCGCGTCCATTCCTCAGCATTCCCCACTGCCGGGGTCCACCCAACACCCCCTCCCCACCATCACGGGTCTTCAACTACCCGCGCTTTCTTCCCGTCTTGATCGCCCCGGGGGCTCATGGGATGCGGGTCCGTAGTCCGCTCCCCTAGACCTGCTCAGCCTGCGCCTTAGCACCCCCTATTCTGGCCCGAACCTCCTAGTCCTGACATCTTGCGTAGGATACGATGGGCTGCACCATAACCTTCTGCACTTTCTGGCCCTGGCCACGGTACGCCATGGTGGAATTTCACAAAGAGCACACTCGCACGCTGCCTCTGATAGCAACTTCCGGAATAAAGAACCGGAAGCGGAAGTGCGTAAAGGTCACGTGGCGATCTGGGCGGCTCTTGGGAAATGCCCCACTAGCCAAGAAGTCGCTTTTCTCCACTGCATAGCCTCCGAGGGAGGCTAAACTGAGGCTTCCGCGCTGTGGAAGATGGGCCGGTCCTACAGCGCCCCCTGGAGGGAGGCGGGAGGAGGCGCCTTTGGTTGTAGGGTGGCCGTGGCGGGAGGAGTGCAATCTTGCCTCCATTTTCTTTCTTTCTTTCTTCTTTCTTTTCTTTTCTTTCTTTCTTTCTTTCTTTCTTTCTTTCTTTCTTTCTTTCTTTCTTTCTTTCTTTCTTTCTTTCTTTCTTTTTCTTTCTTTTCTTTCTTTCTTCTTTCCTTTCTTTCTTTCCTTTCTTTCTCTCTCTCTCTCTCTCTCTCTCTCTTTCTTTCTTTCTTTTCTTTCCTTTCGTCTGTCTCGCTCTGTCGCCCAGGCTGGAGCAGTGGCTCGTGCAACCTCCGACTCCCCGGGTTCAAGCGTTTCTCCTGCCTCAGCCTCCCAAGTAGCTGGGACTACAGGCGTGCCCGCCATCACGCCCGGCTAATTTTTGTTTGGAGTAGAGACGGAGTTTCACCGTGTTAGCCAGGCTGGTCTCGATCTGCTGACCTAGTGATTCCCCCGCCTCGGCCTCCCAAAGTGCTAGTATTAACTGGCGTGAGCCACCGCGCCCGGCCCGTGCCATTTTCTGAGTTAAAGAGCCAAAATTGTCCCGCTGTGTATCTCTGTGTGTAAAATGAGTTAATTTCGTGCCGTTCCTGAAGCGTGTTTTGCTGGAGTTTAGGCTTGGTAGCAGCGTTGTGGTGAAAACGCAGGGCAGCAAGAAGCCCAAACGTCAGGCCCCCCACTGGCAGTCGGCCAGGGGCGATCAGGATTCCAAAGCCAGACGCCTGGTTCGCTCCAGTTACGGATTCAATTCTCAGCCACTTCGTGGAGGGGTGTTCAGGTGGCAACTGAGGGTGGTGATTTACCTTGAAGACGCTGAAATCCACATGCTGGGCGTAAATCCAACTCTTTTAGAGTTGTGTGACCAAGGATAAATTACTCAACCTCCCTGTGTCTTGGCTTAGTTTCCAAAACGAAGATTAAGATGTACTTTCAGGGCTGGGCGCGGTGGCTCACGCCTGTAATCCCAGCACTTTGGAAGGCCGAGGCGGGTGGATCACGAGGTCAAGAGATCGAGACCATCCTGGTCAACATGGTGAAACCCCGTCTCTACTAAAAATACAAAAAATTAGCTAGGCACGGTGGCGTGTGCCTGTAATCCCAGCTACTCAGGAGGCTGAGGTAGGAGAATTGCCTGAACCCAGGAGGCGGAGGTTGCGGTGAGCCGAGATTGCGCCATTGCACTCCAGCCTGGGTAACTAGAGCGAAACTCTGTCTAAAAAAAAAAAAAAAAAAAAAAAAAAGATGTGCTTTCCTCAGGGACTTGGAAGATTCAACGAAAGAATTGTCTATGTGTGCACACAGGCGTCAGCCAGTGTCAGAACATGTCCTTCCCTGGGTAACACAGCTACTAAGTGGAGGAGCTGGAATTGGTTTGGTATGTGTGTGTGACCCCAGAGCCCACCTCCTTCCCATTGTATCATGGCTTGTGGCCTGGCAGATATTTCATTTAGTTGGCATACCCATTTTATGGAGGAAGAAACTTAAGTTTGGAGTTTTGAAATGACTTGCCTAAGGGAACACGGATTGGGGCAAATGGCAGAATCAAAATGAGCTTTTCTGAGGTCTTCTGTTTCATTGAGATAATAGTAATAACAACTTCAAAAAGTGGTTGAGTTGAAAGTGATTTTTAAACTACACAAAGTGGCCGGGGGTGGTGGTTCGTGCCTGTAATCCCAGCATTTTGGGAGGCTGAGGCAGGTGGATCACCTGAGGTCAGGAGTTCAAGACCAGACTGGCCAACATGGTGAAACCCCATCTCTACTAAAAATACAAAACTTAGCTGGGTGTGGTAGCACACATGAATGTAATCCCAGCTACTCGGGAGGCTGAGACAGGAGGGTCCCTTGAACCCAGGAAGCAGAGGTTGCAGTGAGCTGAGATCGCACTCCAGCCTGGGCAACAGAGTGAGATTCCCTCCCAAAAATAAATAAATAAAAATAAATAAACTACACAAAGCTAGCAAATGCTTGGGTTAACTGTTTCCTTTAAAAAATTTCAGCTGGGTGTGCTAGCTCATGCCTGTAATCCCAGCATTTTGAGAGGCAATCAGGAGGCTTCCTTGAGCCCAGGAGTTCAAGACCAGCTTGAGCAATATATTGAGATCTTGGCTCTACAAAAAAACAAATTTAAAAATTAGCCAAGCATAGTGGTGCCCACCTGTAGTCCCAGCTACTCTGGAGGCTGTGGCAGGAGAATCTCTTAAACCCAGGAGGTAGAGGTTGCAGTGGGTAGAGATCATGCCACTGCATTCCAGCCTGAGCAACAGAACCAGACCCCGTCAAAAAAAAAAAAAAAAAAATCCCTAGTTAGGCTTGGTGACATGGCCTGTAGTCCCAAGTGCTAGGGGAGGCTGAGGTGGTAGGACTGCTTGAGCCCAGCAGTTTAAGAGCGCAATGAGCTGTAATGGCACCTATAAATAGCCACTGCACTCCAGCCTGGGAAACATAGTGAGACCCAGTCTTAAAAAAAAAGTTCCCCCACCCAAACCCAGTACAGTGTCATGTCGTCTGACTTCAAGACAGCATGTTTATTTATCCCGCCCTCTTTTTCTAGACAGGATCTCCTACTGTGACCCAGGCTGACACACAATGTGCAGTGGTCCAATCTTGGCTCACCGCAACCTCCCCACCAGGGCTCAAGTGATTCTCCCACCTCAGCCTCCTGAATAGCTAGGACCACAGGTGTGCACCACCACACCTGGCTAGTTTTTTGTATTTTTAGTAGAGACAAGGTTTTGCCATGTTGGCCAGGCTGGACTTGAACTCCCAGCCTCAAGTGATCATCCTGCCTCAGCCTACCAAAGTGCTAGGATTACAGGCGTTAGCTGCACCCGGCCAGGATTACTTTTTTAAATCCAAGTACGTGATGTCTTTTTATTTTTTCAAACTTTCCTTTGACTTTTTCCTAAGTTTTTGGTTTTCTTCATAGAGGCCTTGTGATCTCTTAAGTTTAACCCTAGATATTTCATCTCTCTTGTTCTTAAAAATTGTATCTTTTCCTGAATTGTGTGCACTAGTTGGTTTTTAGGGGAAAAAAAAGAATGATAAATGAAACTACATAAAAATGATAAAATTTTGCATGACTAACAAGTGAAAATAATAAAAGTCAAAGGATCTGGGAAAAATATGTTTGCATTCCATCCGAAAAATGACTAATTTTTATGTAAAGAGTTCCTGAAAAAGAATTCTATTCTGGTTCTCTACTGATGTGTAAGAAATATTCCAAAACGTAGTAGCTTAAAACAACCACCATTTTAATTCGTGACTTCACGGTCAGGAATTTGGGCCGGTTCTCAACTAAGTGATTCTTCTGCTCTACAAGACATGGGTAAGGCTTTGGTGTTTATCTTTGGAAGACTGGCCTCAGCTAGGTTACTATCTCTATGTAGCCTCAGCCCTTGCCACATGGTCTCTCTAGAAGGGTAGTAAGCTTTCTTATTTTTTATTTTTTTTTAGACAGAGTTTTGCTGTTGTTACCCAGATTGGAGTGCAATGGCGCGATCTCGGCTCACCACAACCTCCTTCCTCAGCCTCCCAAGTAGCTGGGACTACAGGCACGCACCACCATGCCCAGCTAATTTTTGTATTTTTAGTAGAGACGGGGTTTCACTTTGTTGACCAGGATGGTCTCGATCTCTTGACCTCGTGATCCACCCACCTCGGCCTCCCAAAGTGCTGGGATTATAGGCGTGAGCCACCGCGCCCGGCCTAGTATGCTTTCTTATATGGGGGATTAAGGGTCTAGGAAACCAAGGTTGAAGCTACTAGCACTTTTAAAAGCCAAGCCTAGATGAGTGTGGTGGCTCACGCCTGTAATCCCAGAACTTTGGGAGGCCAACGTGGGCAGATCATCTGAGGTCAGGAGTTCGAGACCAGCCTGGCCAACATGGCGAAACCCCATCTTTACTAAAAATACAAAAACTAGCCAGGCGTGGTGGCAGGCACCTATAATCCCAGCTACTTGGAGGGCTGAGGCAGGAGAATTGCTTGAACCTGGGAGGTGAAGGTTGCAGTGAGTGGAGATCATACCACTGCACTCCAGCCTGGGTGACAGAGTGAGACACCGTCTCAAAAAAAAGAGACCTAAAGTTAAAATTGGTGATGGATGATGTGAACAATCAGTTTGTAACAAAGGAAAGAGGAATGGTCTTTAAACGCCCAGCTTCACTCATAAGAGAAAGGCTACATTCAGAATGTCTGTCATAAAAGAAAAAAAGAAAGGCAAACCAAACTTTACTGAAGTACTATGTCCCTTATTAGATTGGCAATGATGAAAAAATGTGGTAAATTATGAAGCTCTGTTTCTTTTATTATTATTATTTTATTTATTTATTTACTTTATTTTTAAGAAGGGGTTTCACCATGTTGGTCAGGCTGGTCTTGAACTCTCGACCTCGGGTGATCCATCCACCTTGGGCCTCCAAAGTGCTTGGATTACAGGCATGAGCCACCACGCCTGACCATGAAGCTCTATTTCTAGGTCCTTATCCTCCATATAAACTTACATATGTGGTATAATGTAATCATTACAGCATTGTTTAAAACACCAAGATGGGAAACAACCTAAATGTCTGTCAGTAGGGACTAGCATTGTAAATTACTCCATCTTCATAGGGTGTAATTCTATGCAAATGTTAAGAAGATTAAAGGTCTTTGTGTCCTGATATGAAACGATATTGAATATACATTATGAGAAAAAAGCGAGTTATAATAGCTTGAGATTTACTTCAGAATAACTCAGTGGAGCCAGCAGGGCCAGATCTCAGATGAGGTAAGCCTAAGGATTTAGCATTTTAGGAATCACAGTCACAGGTTCAAGTACAATATCTGAAAGTGAGTGCCTC